GTGCGGGTGACCGGGCCACCCCCCCCCAACGGCCCGCCAGACCCTGCTGCTGATGTGCTGGCGGCATTGCCGCTCTCCGTCGCTCGCCCTCGGCCGTGGGGCTGCAGGCCTGGACTTCAGCTTGAAAGCCCAGGGGTGGTTCTAGCTCTCCTGCCTAGGGCATTGTTTGGGTTTCTGCATCTTGAGCGGGACAGCTGGGCGGCTGGCGTCCCTCCTTCTGCTTGGGTGTGAGTTGGTTTGTTCCTGGCCGTCGGGGTGATCGACGGCATTGCCAAGTCTGCCAGGGCAGTGAGAGATGCTTCTGAGGAACAGTTTGGCAGGAAAATTTCAAGGGAGAGGCTGAGAGGGTGTGTGCGAGGCCCTGCAACTCTGTAAGGTGCCACCCCACCCCACGTTGTTTTCTGTAGGGTCCTTGGTGTGTCACTGGGGACCTTCACATGCACCTCCTCTCTGTCCAGATACTCCTACCAGAGCTGACCATTCCTGGCGGTTTCTCCAGAACATCTAGACAGGGTGCTGTGGTGTGCTTTAAAATACCGTGTGATGCTTGAGTGCCAATACGCACAGGAGCACCAGGCGTGACATCTGGCAAACAAACGCCAAGCAATGTGTTTGGACAGAGGTTCTGTGGCCGGGGCAGGGCTCATTGGTTCTACATCACAGAGCTGCACGTAGCAACCAAAGAAACCGTGATAAGCAAGTGATCCCAGAGGCTGGCTTAAGGGGTGACAGAAATTATCCTTGAAAAAGTCTGGCTGGTGTTCAAGAAGTGGAAGAACCTCTGCCTGGCAAGCAGAAACATGAAGGCTGCCTCAAGATGCCTCAGTTAAGGATTGGTGAGATTTTATCAACACCGGTGTGGTCTTGCTGGCCTCATGGTTAATTCCTTTGTGACCACGAATGGGTGAGTGACAAGGCAGAGCCTCTGCCCGGCTGTTCGCCCAGGACAGCGATTGCTGAGGAGTTTTTCTGAATCTTTTCTGGCCAGCTCTCTTTTTCCTGCTGGTGGCCTTCTCAGCCTCCCCGTTTCAAGAGACCACTTTCACCCTACCTCTTCCTTTAAAACTAGACATTGAGAAACCTCCTGCCTTGAATCTGCCGCCGTCGGTAAAGCTGTGGGAAGCTGTCCTGAATGGCATGAAGTGCTCTGCCCTGGAAGGGGGAAAGGCTTTCTCCTCGGCCATGCAGGACTTCCCTTCCCCTTCCCGATCTAGTTCGGACTGCGCTCTGCGTAAGGTTTCTGGAACGCTCCGACTTCTGCTGTGGGCGCTCGGATGTCGGTGGCTTTCTGCCTGCCATGGCGTCGTGAAAACGCTTCCTACGGTGGAAGGGACCGTGTGTCCTGTTGCGGGAGCTGTGCTTCACGCGGGTGAACTTGCCCTCTGAGCCCGTGGGAATGAGGCTAGTCCTGCTGGGGCAGGCTCTCGGCTGCTCTCCTGAAGTCAGTGCCTCCGCCGAGCCAGGGAAGCTGTCTGGTCGAGGGTCTGGCTGAGAACCGTCCATTATCACTTCAACAGCACAGAGAACGAGCCCTGCAGGCTTGCGTGGCAGAAGAGGTCTCGCCTGTCTTATTCTCTGCCGGGTGATTTCTAAGTTCTTCCTTCCCTAACCACTCCAAGGTGTTTGGATTGCCCCTGTGTCAGACCTCCCCAATTTCCACCTCTCCTCCCAGGCTGTCTTCTCCGTGGAGACAGCCAAACACCACACGGCGTGTCAGCTGGGCTGTATTTTGACCTGCCTGGGTTAAAGCCGTTGGTACTGGAGCCTGTGGGGTCCTGGGGGGTCAGCAGAGGACACGTCCATCCCTGTAGCATTGCCAGTCCCTCGTATGGCCTTTCCCAGGCAACCAGCACACGGAGTTCAGGCGTGTTGCAGAGCTGGGGTGCCTGAGCTCGCAACGTGCCTGGCCAGTGTTTGGAGAAGAGATGGTTTGCGTGGTGAACAGTGGATGAAGCTGGCCAGAGGAGAGCAGGAAAAAACAGGAGGTTAATGTGGTCTGTTTGGGGGGTGTAGGAGGGGTTGCTGCTATTTATGGGACTAATATTTAGCTTGGAAGTCTGGACAGGCTGCCGGCTTTATCAGATGAGCAGGTAGCAGCAGTGGCCCAACAGGCCTTGGTCTGTCTGTATGGGAGGTGGCATTGCTGTGAGGTGGTGGGATTTTGCAGTTGCTGTCGGCATCTGACTTTTCTAAACGGGTTCAAGTCACATCACGTGTGGTGCAACATCTTCAGTCTTTCTGGAAGGGCAATGAGGCAGCTCCTTTATCGCAAGGGTGCATGATACGAGGTGTGCTGGGTTGGACATGTGACGTTCCCAGGGCTTTCAGCTGTGTTCATCTGGAAGGTGCCTCCTCCTGTGATGGTGGGGCTACCCAGCCAGTGTGCAAGAGAAGATGAGGAATGGTCATGTATTCTCCTGGATTCCCCCACAGCCCAGCTTGTTTGCTGTCATGCTTTTTGGTCAAGATGTTTATTTCCAGAAAAGGTAGAAGACTGGGAAGGTTAAATGCAATTTTCAGCTGTTGGCATCAGGTAGAGAGGTCACAGGAACTGGGAGAGTTGTTCCTCACAAACATCTGGAGACCATGAGGGTCACAAAGGCCCAGGCTGATGGAGGTGGTGTTGCCCAGGCTGTTCAGTTCAGTAACTGGCCCCTGTGGCTGCTGTAAGGGGGTGTCCGAGAAGTGACTCTGGCTGCCCAGGGATTCTTCTGCAGGAGCCCAGGGCGCCGGGTGGCTCCTTGGTGTCCATGTGAAGTCGCTGCTCTGTGTGAGACCCAAGAGAGCGGGTGGCCTTCGGGCACTCGGCATGACCGGTGTGGGAAGCCTGCCCTGCTGCCTGCTGGAACAGCCACAGGCAAACGCTGTGCCTTGCAGCTGGGTTGCGTGGCAGCGGCAGGCAGTGGGGAGGTTGGGCGTTCTGCAGAAATCGTCCCCGTTAATACAGGGTGGCGCAGTTTGAGCCCCAGATGTTGGCATTGGTCAGATGAAGGGTTTGGTTGTCACTAAAGCCCTCCAGAAATCTGTGGGTGGAGAAAGTTGCTTTCTGGACTCTGACCCTGTCCCTTTTTCCCTTCTTCCAGTGGCTCAGAAGGTGGTGGCTCTACGGAAGAAACAGCAGCTTTCCATCGGTCCCTGCAAGTCCCTGCCCAATTCACCCAGCCATTCGTCTGTCTCTGCGGCCTCCATTCCTTCTGTTCACATCAACCAGGTGGGAAATGGGAATGGGGAAAGCCAGGGACCCCACATGCTTCTCCACACCCCCTCAGTTCCCTCAATACAGAGCATGTTTAGCCTAGCTTTAGACTCTCACTACAGCCTTGGAGTAGCTTTTGGAAAGAGCAGAGTAGTTGTCACCCTGGAACTTCTGTCCGTACCCCAGAACAGCTTGGTGCTTGCCCTGAGGTCAAGCTTCGTGTCTAAACCATTGGGTCTGGCTCATGGTCTCCAAAGCTTGTGGCATGCTTCTGCAGGCACTGGCCGTGGAGCTGTGAGCAGGCTGCAGGGAAGCTCCTGGGCAGAGCGGAAGGAGGTATGTGAAAGGGGCCTCGTCTGGCTGCCCTGGCCGGACAGGCAAGCCTGGGTTGGACACAGCTGCCCACGATCCTGCTGGAAGCGAGAAGCTGATGGTCTTCCATGCATATACAGGTGGGCTTCTTAGGGAATGTGTTTGTGGAGGGACGAATTCAGTGGTGAACTGAAGGAGCAGCACAGAGGAGGAGGAGGTGCTCCTCTGCTCTGGCAGAGGAAGGGCTCTGAGCTGTTCTTCTGGCACAGCTTTAGCTTGGCAGGGCTGCCAAGGTCTCCATGCCAGGAGGATGGTGAAGCTGGAGGCGTTTGTTCTGTGACTCTGGAGAACCAGAACTGATGCAGGAGGGGCAGGTCAGAAACCAAAGCAGGCTGCCACCGTGAGTGCCTGGTAAAGGAGATCCTTTGGGCAGCCGCCTTAGTTGCACTAGGGCTTTGCTGCAGTTTCCAGCACCCTCACAAATGCTGACCTGGCTCTCTGATGAGGAAGATGAGATCCTGGGCTCTGCTGCTCTGCAGGGGCAGTCAAGCCAACAGATTCCAGCTCTGAAGCACCTGGCACAGGAAATCACAGGATCTCTAGCAAGGACTTGAGGAAATCTGTCTGGTGTGGTGCTGTCAGACTGGGGAGCAGCAAGTGTAGCTGCTGGGCTTATGAAAGAGGGGAGGCAGAGCAGCTGTGAGCCCCTCGGCTGCCTCCGCAGCGAGCAGCGCTTGGAATTGTTTTTGAGGAAAAGAGTAGCTAAGGACTCAGAGGAGCATGTGAAACTGAAGAAAATGCAAATCAAGTTTAGGAAAACAAATTCTGCCAGACTGACCCTTGTTTACTTAAGGAGGTTGACTTTGAACCTTAGGGTATATCTGAGCCTCTCAGCCCCGAGAGGACTTCTGGTACTCCACCACAGAAGAGATTGTTCCTGTACAAACCTGATTACTGTCTGCAGCCACTGGTTGGACCTTTGCATAATTTTTAAATACCCACATGAAGTTTATACCTGACTGTATAGGCTTCTAGAGCTGGGGTATGAGTAGGTGTGTACAGATTTTTGCAGAGACCTGTGCCAGCTGCCTGGTGCTCCAGGAGGAGGAGGTCACCTGGACACCAGCAAGTTCAGATGAAGTCTCTGTGTGCAAGTGAATGAGCCAGGCTGCCTGGTGAAGCTGCGTAGCTTCCTGATTAGAGCTTGCTTGTGTCCCGTGAGCTTGGGATATAAGCAGAGTGAGCACAGCTGCTTGCAAAACATACACAGCCATACCATGCCCTGCAGTTTGTCTGGATATGTGTGCTTTTTGAGAAGTTCAATAGGAGGCATCCAAGGTAGAGAGCAAAGTCCAGGGAGAATGCAGTTTGAATGTATCTGGTAATTTAAGGATTTTATTAGCAGACAAATTGTAAACGGTCAGAGACCAGTTGGGAAGGAGAGGCAGTCTGTACTGAAAGGGGAAACGGGGTGGAAGATGGCCAAGGGCAGTGTTCCTCGGGGAGGAGCTGAACAATTGTTTAATATTTTCTTCAATGTCCAAAGTATGAGAAAAGGGTCCTAACAAATATGTTCTATGATGGAGCGACCACATCAGTGGCCAAGGGAGGTGCTACTGATGTCGTCTATCTGGACTTCTGTAAGGCCTTTGACACGGTGCCCCACAACATCCTTCTCTCTAAATTGGAGAGATATGGACTTGATGGGTGGACTGTTGGGTGGATGAGGAATTGGTTGGACTGTCGCATCCAGAGGGTAGTGGTCAACAGCTCAATGTCCAGATGGAGATCAGTGATGGGCGTTGTCCCTCAGGGGTCCGTATTGGGACCAGT